GAACTTTTCTTAACATGAAGTATTTTTATTGTGTACCTATTTAATATAGTAAATATAGTATTTATATCAGGTTTTTGTATTATTTAATTATTTTGCATATTATGTATCTTGTATCTATTTTATATTTTCTATTCTTAATTTTTTTTGTATAATTTGCTTAATTTGGTTGCATATTGAGTATATATTAATAAAAAAGCATATTTTTGGCATATTTTATTATGATTTTTAAAGAATATTGGAAGAATATTTTCAAATTTTTAAGAGAATATTAGCATCTTATTTTGGCTATTTTAAAAGAATATAATTCCGGGCCCTAGTTATAATATATTTCATAAGGGTGTACAAAGAGAATATCATTCACATATCACAGGTATAACTATAAAAATGTTGGGTGATTAGATTTATGTGTAAACATACGGTTAGTGTTGTCGTGCCTATTTCCATGAATTGGAGCATATATATATATATATAACGAATATAAGTTTACAGGTATATATTACCTAAAATGTATACGATTATAACAGAGGAGTAACATTTACCGGTCATTTCTAGGAATGATATACAGTTGTTCTCCATACATATATTGTTTAAATTGTTATAACAAGACCATACATAGTTTTGATATCAACGATTTTATAAATACTTTTTTAATATGTATTATGTTAGACGTATTATACCGAATTATAAAAGAATGAATACAAAAAAGGAAATCACATTGATTTTAGTGATTTATATTATAAGACTATATTATTTTTAAAATTTTTGTGCATAGTTGAAACATCTGACGGTAATTTCCAGGAATGATATATAACGAATAGAAATTTCCATATAAATTTTATCTAAATTATAAACGATTATAACAGAGGTACAACATCTGTCGGCATTTCTAGGAATGATATACAGTTATTCTCCATACATATATTGTTTAAAATGTTATAACAATACCATACATAGTTTTTATACTATCGATTTTAAAAATATTTTATTATTATGTTAGAGATGTCGTGCTGAGTTATAAAAGAAATTAATACAAAAAGGAAAATCACACAAATGTGGAATAACATATTCTCATTTATAATATGTATATATATATATATATAAGAAAAAGGTCTATTTTTAATGTCTATTGTTTGGTCACGTTTTATCATAAGGCATATATACAGTCGACTCTCGATAATTCGAAATTGACGGGACTGCTAAAAAACTTCGAATTACCAAGAGTTCGAATTGTTGAGTAGTTCGAAATAACGAGAGGGCAAAAAAAAAATTCGAATTATAGAGAGTTAAGAAAAATTTTTTTTTTTTTATTATTGTACATACATACATACATATTAATTATTTCAGTAAAGTAGGTGATACGGCATACATATTAGAGTTATTTATTGTTAATATTAACATTTTTAATTATTTATTATTATTATAAAAGATTATTATTTTTTAAAGAAATCTGTTATGATGGTTTTCTGCTTCATTGAATTTAGTTTAATTTTTTCAATAGTATTTTCTATAGTAAATAAAGCATCAAAAACCTCAACAGTGACTTCTGACTGGAGCGAGAAATTTCGTAATTTTTCCAAGGATAAACTGGCTTCTTTTAAAGTCACAAGAGGTAGAGGACTTGTGTCATCTTCATTGTCTTCATCAATGCTTAATGTATTTTCCAAAATTTCGGCGTCAGAGAAGACTCCCCATACAGCAACATCTTCATCTACATTGACATAATCAGTGAAAGATACATTTTCTTGAGTTGGCAGGGAATTCCATTGTATCGATTCAATATTTAACTGGTCGTTTTCTGTTTCTTGAATTTTTTTGGTAAATCCCGATTTTTTAAAACACTTGAGTATCGTAGAAGGAGCCACTTTTTTCCATGCCTTATCAATAAATATCATAGCAGTCAATACACTAATGTTTGGCGTTTGTTCACTTTCAATGCATTCCAAAACATTCTTTACAACTTCTTGACGGTAAAAAGTTTTACAATTCTTAATTATACCTTGGTCGAGTGGTTGCAACTTCGATGTGGTGTTAGGAGGAAAAAATTGAAGTTCTATATTAGTTAAAGGTGGGGGGTTATTATGAACTGTACAGTTGTCTAAAAACAGTAGAATTTTTCGTTCCTGTTTTTTCATGTCTTCATTGAGTGAAAACAACCATTCATTAAATAATTCTGTCGTCATCCATGCCTTTTTATTTGAACGATAAGTTATAGGAAATGAACGTATGCCATTAAAACACCTAGGTTTGGCAGCTTTTCCTATGAGGAGTGGAGTTAACTTTTCGGAGCCGTCCATGTTTACTGCTAATAAAATCGTTAACCTGTCTTTACTATGTTTCCCGCCGTGGCATTTTTCTTCTTTAAAAGTGAAAGTTTTATCTGGTAAACATTTAAAAAATAGAGCGGTTTCATCTGTGTTGAACACGTTTCGTGGCTCGTAATTTTTTAACAAAGTTGAAAGTTTACAATGCCACTCTGAACACACGTTATTGTCAACACTAGAACTTTCTCCACAAATTTTTTTGAAAACAATACCGTTTCTTTTTTTAAAATTCGTTAACCATCCATCACTAGCTGAGAAAAACGGGATGCCCAACTCATTGGCGAATGATTTTGCTTTTTCTTTGAGTAAGAGGCCACTTACAGGCACATTTTGCCCTCTGCATTGCCAAACCCATTGTACTAAACACTCTTCTAGTCTTGGTTCTTACCTTTACTGTTTCGTTTCCGACCACCGCTTGATGACGCAGTGATGATTTTATTTTTGTCCTTCAAAATCGTAGACAGTGTACTTAAAGGAATGTCAAATGTCTTAGCCACTTCGGTTTTTTTGTCACCTCTTTCAACCGCTTCAATCAATTGTTTTTTTTTCCGAAATCGTCAAAGATTTGTATTTTTTAGAATTAGACGCACTCATCACATGAACTTGACTTTACAACCGACCAAACGAAACTAAAATAAAACTACATTCGGCTGACGGCTATCGACGACTCGACGAGTTAAATTACGATTAGAGACGATTGAGAAATAAAACGATAAGGTTCTTACAATAATATTCTATAGTTATCGACAGTAATAATCTAAATTTCTACACGATTGTATAGTATTTATTAATAAAAAGATTATAAGAATACAGATAAAATACATTTGGTGAATATACTTCGAATTTCCGAGCATTAAACGAATGATACTTCGAATTGTCAAGTGTTAGTGGCCAGTTTTCCCAAAATTTAATTTCGAATTACCAAGTGTACTTAAATGCATTGTTTTTGTTCGAATTACCGCGTGGTTTTCAAGGAACCGAGTATTTACTTCGAATTACCGAATGTTTCGAATTATCGAAGGTTTGAATTACCGAGAGTCGACTGTATCTATATATATTATATTAAATGATGAATAGTACCGCCGGCCTTTACTCACAACAAAATCTCGATGACCGGAACAATCATCCGGATATTATATAGTATGTCTTCAGTCCTGAAACATACAACACCTACATTACGTCTTACCAGTTCCCAGTGATTTTCTGTGTATTTTTATTATAGTTTTCAGCGTTTTTATTTCAACTTGAAAATGTTTAAGTGCGATCAGTGTATCAAAATGTTCTCTAGCAAAGATAATTTAGTTAGGCACAATAAAATCCACTAAAATGTTCAGTTTACGTGTGAAATATGTCTTAAGACTTTTGTTCGTAAAGATAATTTGGCAAAACACACGAAGAATAAGCATGGTATGTATTTTTAATTAAATAAAACGATTATATTAATTATTTAATTTTTTCAAAAATATTTTAATTAAATATTTAAAAAGCGTATTACATTTCATTTTTATTCGATAAATTTTACAATAGAATTAATAATTATTATTTAATTAAACATTTACAAGTGTGTACCTACATATAATTTTATTTTTAAAATTTTTACAATTTTTTTAGCTAATATTGTTCAACGTAATGAAACGTATGAATATAAATGAATTAATAATCGAATTGTCGTGTGGTATCTGCTTGATCAACTTCACACGGAGAGACAACCTCTTGAGACACGTTCGAGAAAAACATGGTTGGTAAACAAAATAATACATAATATATTTCCTCGGGTTAATATTCAAATAAAACATTTTTCATAAGGTCTGCTTGGATATGAGAATGATTTTAATCGGGCTGTGGGGAAAAAAATCGCTACAGTAACTCCGGTCAATACTCTAGTATCAGGTAATAATATTTATATCAAACCATACTGGTAATTTATTAATCTTAAGCTTTTTTTTCTCTAAATATTTTGTAAAATAGACTACTCGTTAAAGCAGTCAGCTGCTGGGGATAATAATATTGTCTGTTATGAGCGTTCCCTCCACCTCTACCGCCGATAACACGTCGTCATCATTGCCGTCACCGCCGGCCGTTCTCGATACAATTTCTGCTTCCAATACGAATGCTACCGTTGCTATAGCTAACAAGCGCTCTATCGTCTCGCGTAAACGTTACAATGACAATTCTGTGAGAAATGTGAAAAAAAAGAAAAACCGTATGACCTCATCTGTATTCAATAACGGACCCAGATTTCGTGAAATCGACTCGTCTTTTGCCCGCACTGAAGTATGGTATGGTAACACGTCCAAGAGCGTTTATGAAATATCATAGTTCGTTCAGTCGTTCAAGAAATATCATAGTTCGTTCAGTCGTTCATGATCACGAACGAGACCAGTCTCCGTTGAACACTAATATTTTTCACTATTCTCGCGGTCATCACAACACTTACGATTTTTCTCTGTAAGTACGTTTTACGTTTTATTCTTATAAATATTTTGAAATAAACACTCGTGCGGTTATATAAAATAAAATAATTGTAACTTTTTTTTCTTTAGGATTTTTTTTTTTCTTCAACATTGCGTCAACGTTTTCCGTCACCAACAACTACATCATCGCCACCACCACCACTACCAGTATATCCAGTACCGGTTAGCAGTACCGCTCACTTCAATTACAGAGTAAGTCATATTATTATTTGCATGAAATTTATATATATATATATAATAAATCTTACGTTACTCGATCGGATTCCATCTTAATAAAATGTTTCATATTTTTTTCGAGTTTTAAATTATTCGCATGGAATCTTATTTTTATTACAGCCACATGCGATACGTTCACGAAATTTATTCACGATCAACTAAGTTTAATAAATATATATATATATATATAAAATGTCTAGATAGTATTACACATCCTTTACTATCTGTTTATAATATAATTTGTTGGAGAAAAGTTTTTCATTTAAAATTTTATTTCTTTTTTCATGTTTTTTTATTTTCTTTTCCGTAGTATGGAATCATTCATCGAACGGATGCGGAAACAAACAGCCATTGTAAGAAAGAGTGTAGGTGATTTAATCATGGATCATAACTATAAAATGATAAATTTATACGTGGCGCAAACGAAATTCGGGCGCAGCGTCAAGGCTATAATGGAAGAAACAGAATCGGAACGGGTTGAAGTATTTCTACCGAAATCGATTTCAATATTCGACGAAGAAATAGACGACTATAATGATAATGATGATGATAGGACAAATAAAAAAAAATGCACTTCGTTTATTTAGGTAAACGGGGGCAGTCATTTAATTTTAAATTTGTCTAATAAATAAAACAAATTTAATTTTTATCCCGTCGTTTTATTATTATTCTTATTATTATTACTACCTTCTCTATTTAATAATATTGTCAATAAACGTGTCATGTAATTATACATGAGGTACACCGCGGTGATGTTTTATTGAGATTATCACGGTTTTCAGGAGAAAATAAAATATATATTTTATTACTTTTCAAAACATTTTTGGGTTATAGATTTATATTCTACATGGAAAACAAGGATCACAACAATAACGATAACAAAAGCGATTACTATAAAATAATAATATATTTTACACAGAGTTTGTTTAGTTTTTTCCCCGACAGGTGAAGAATAAAAATGTAATACAGTATTTTCATAAAATTATACATAATAAAATAATAATAATAATAATGAGAACAGAAAAATAATAATAATAATTATAAATATAGTTCAGGTCATTTATTTTAGATGTAGAAAAATGTAAGACTGTCTCGCGTTATGATTATACATAATAATTATAATGATACGCGATAAAAATAATAATAATAATTGTTACGACTAATGACTAGATGAGCATGCTCGTTACATCGTATACGTTACATGATAATAATCATAATATTCAATAATTTATTCGATACTATAATGACCGTGTGCCAGAGTGTGCACACGGTCGTTTAAAATATAGCGTTTGTCATCCGAACGGTTCAAAGTCTTTTTCATAGCTACAACAGTTTTAACTTGATGTTTGAATGATCGGATGGACGCGTTTAACCTGTAAGGCGTGTACGGTTTGTAGGGCGGCAATGATGTTGCAATGTTATCATCCCCGCTTGTAGTGGTAGTAGTAGTAGCGCTCTGTCGGTGTATGCTATCTACGACGGCTCGACTGCAACGCACCGCCACACGTTTTTGTCGTTCGCTATCGCTCTCATCGTCATCACCATTATCATCATCATCATCATCAGCAACATTGTCCGTCTCGAACAAACACCGTTTGTGATCGGCCATCGTCAAATGGGATTTAATGACGTGCTGTCGAATCCCCTTGGCCCTGATCGTCTCCACGTGTTCGATATCGTAAGCGTAAGATTTCGCCCGGAGCGCGACGAATTGAGCATGACGCCACCGCACGTCTCGTCCGTAAACAGTCCGGGTATTTTCTTACGGACCGCCGTGTAACACGGGTGATCGTGCGGGAGATTCGACGTGTCCATGCGACGCAGCAAGTCGGGGTTGTTCGCCAGATCGCGATAAAAATCGTCTGTCGTCACGCTGTAGACGAGTGAATCTGAAACATGTTCGGGGGAAATATAAAATCTATATGATGATAATAATAATAATAATAATTTACCGGTATCAGTGTACAGCAGCTGTATGTTTTCTCGATAATGTCGTTTCATGACGTTATAATGATAATCGTACATCAGCGTCTTGCTTATATCGAGCACGGCGAAGCCCATGTAAATCGGCTTGCAGAAGTCGATAATTTTATTATGCAAAGACACCGCTGCAAGATTTTCGTTATAAGTGGTACAATACATAAACGTTGGACGGTTAACGAGTTTCATGAATCGACGCTCGCACGACACGAGCTCCATCTTCATGCGTTTGCGCATCGATTCCATTGTTTTTCCTGAAAAACAACGGAATAAATATATATATATACACGATATTATAATAATTATTATTATTATGATGATCGGTTATTGTTGTTATTGTTGTTGTAGTTACCGAACACGGCGTTATTCATTAGTTTGAAGAAATCTCGTTCGAACCCGTTAACCGCACTCTTACACATCTCCGTGTTGAGTTCGATGTATTTAGCCAACCACGGCGATTGACTGAACTCCAACATCCGATGCACCTATGTACCATATATATATGGAAGACAAACGGTTATTAATATTATAATTATTCTTAATAATATATCATAACGATGTTATCACCGCCGTCGTCGCGCTCACGACATACTTTATCGACAATCAGTCCGTTGGTGATGGCCTGTTTCAAATTTATGTAGTGCACCACATAGTTCTTCGTTTCCAAAGTGGCCATGAGTTTGCGCATTTTGGAACCCCTAGGCACGCTGGTATACGGCAAAAACGGCAGCTCGTTATGCGCGTCATGCAGACTCTGCGGGTACGAGACGTCGACCTCGTACACTCTTCCCACATCGTCCGTGTCGCGCATGGTTTCGAGCTGCGCCAACGCGACGTCCGGATTGCCCGCGTACCACCGGAATCCGCCGTACGGCATCTAACGGCTCATGGCCCATCCGTAAAGGTTATTGCCTATAGCGCGTGATTGTGGATGAAATTACGATTAAAATGTATTTAACATGGAATATATACATGATAATGATAATTACAGTCTTGATAGACCAGCCATGTGGTAGGTTACGTGTTGTCGAACCCGGCGATCTTCGCGTTGTTCACCGTCGCGTAACGCGTGCTGGCCTGTACCAATCCGCCACGTATACCCTGCTCTATCATTAGCAGCATATCATAGTCCTCGAGCAGCTCTAGTCTTGCCGACGTGTACTTCAGCATGCAGTCGAAACTAAACCCGGGAACCGTGTAATAATACGCCGGGTCTAGGTTATACGTTTGCATGCATATGTCTCTGAAGTTCTCGAACACGTCGGCCAGAAGCAGCACGTCTATTTTCAGGTATAGATCACTGTAATCGCCTACAGTTCGGCAATCGAAGTGATCCCATACCCGAATCGTGTGCTCGTGTTCCGCGATTGCTACGTGCTCCTCCCTTAGCGCGCTAAAAAACTCGGAGCACTCCGGCAGACTCGTCTCGGCCAACCTGTCCCAGCGGTCGGTGTACTCATAGGGAAATACACCTTTGCGTGTCACGAGAAGCATATCGTCCGGCGCGAACACGTTCGCGATTTCGCGGAATTTGCTAAAGTCCGTGGTCGAAAGGTTCGCGGCCAGGGCGGAGAGTTTCGACGCCATAAAACGACAGGTATCGACAAACCTTATCGTGAACTCTTTGTTGACGTACTTCGAGAAAGAGATGTACGTCTCCTCCGAGTTGGGTATCACGGTGATCCTCTCGGTATCGTACCCCAACTCGGTCACGATAAAATGAGCGTCATATTTTGATAAATTGTGCAAAAAGCACGGCACAAAATTGGGCGTTTTTAGCTTTAAATTGCACGTGTTGCACAATGTTTTCAAAAAACGCTCCGACAGGTGATCGTGGTGAGCGACTTTGCGGTTTTCCACGCGGAACGCCGTGCGACACAGATCGCAACGCGTTTTCGCCACGTGCACCGCGAGTTCCTCTTCACCGCCGGTCCACACGATACCCGTGATTGTCGTCTTATACAATTCGTACAATTTACCCGCTATCTCGGTGACCGCCAGGACGAATTGCCGTGCCACGTTGTCTCGCGCAACCGATCCGCGAACGATGACCGGTGCGCTCGGAATCTCGAACCGTTCGAGCAATTCCGCGGGCACACCGTCCGCGGCCTTTACCAGAAAACCGTAGCTCATCGGGCAGTGGTCTTGCGAGACCCGTGTGTAGCGCCTCGCGTCTCGGTCGACTTACGGAGATACGATTCGAAGTCGGCGTATATGACGAACGGTAAGCGTTGCGTTTTAACCCACGCGTCGAATCGTACCGTAGCCCCATCCAACGGCATTAAAGGTACTATCGGTTTGTGCGGGCCACATATTTTCATATGCTCCGCGAGCGCCGCCACACCGCTACACTTATAGCGCGTAGGCTGGTCGTCGAAACGGGTGAAACACTTTTTGCATACGAAAACGTTATGTTCTCGTATGGTCATCTGCGTGCTGACGAGTCGGGAAAAATTCGAGATAAACGTATAATGGTTATCCCCCTCGTGCGTGATCAGCAGTAGATCGAAATGATTCTCCTGCTCCGTATCCACGACCCGCAGAGGGTATACGGTGTGAGGTGAAATTTTCTCATTGCCGCAATTTCCCAAACCGTACACGTTTACTGACGTGCCGGGGTTATAGCGCTCAAACATTTTTATACGGGGGTGTAGACGGATAACGCGGAAAAGTTGTACCGGTACTCCTCGCTCTAATAATTCGCTCCGACCCGTTCACAGTGCGCGGTGTTCTGCACGTGTTTAGCCAGAATCGCCCACTTGAAACATTCGCGATCAATGTTTTGCGGGTTTACGACAGCCTTACGATTAGCTACGCGCGCCGGTAACGGAACGTAAGACCTAACCTAGCGGCGTGTACTTGTACACGCCTAAAAGCAGCCCGTCTATGCACGCGAGTGTGTATCCGCTGCCCTTACCGCGGTAAACGTCTTCCTCGGCGAGAAGCGCGGAAGTCATCCTCCACCATCTCATCGATATCCCCGAACTCGTACAACTCCCTGGCAGACGTTTTAAAAGCCCTATTCACGGAAGACTGTTCGAGCTTGGGGATATTGTAAGTGGCCTCCAGTTTGAGGTGGTATTTTATCGGGTGAATAAGTACCGTTTCGCGTAATAGCGTCACCAGCTCCGTCCTAATAGATCGTAGAAAAACGTTATAATCGGTACAATTATTAACATTTTTCGCGTAATACCAAACGACGGAGCGTCTAAAAGACGAGTCTATTTCAACGAAACCGCACCTCGCGTTCACCGATGCCATACGATTCTTTTTACGATTAACCCTAACCACCGAACTATCGTTAGAACGTTTGCGCGGTACGGGCGCGGGGATAGCGATAGTGGCGGCGGCGGCGGCGGTGTCGGCGGACATGATGGTGAGGGGTGCTGATAGCGAAGTATACATTTTCGAAGCGGTGTGTGGTGATGGTGGCGGTGGTAGTGATAGAGTAGCTGTCGGCGCTATTTTCAAAATTTTAACATTAATATTACTTATTTTAGGTAGAGAAAAATAAAATTACCTTCTCCCATCACTGGTGCGGTTATCCCCATCGCTGCGTTGTACAGATCCCCATATTTTTCAAAATCTATTAAAATGAAAATTTATTAATGACGGGAGGGACTGGGATTAAAACAAAAATAAAATGTACTCACTGTGAACGATCTGCACGTGTTTAACCAAATAATCACGACGTTGGTATATTTTGGAGCATGCCCTGCATTTATAAACAGCTCCGTCGTGCGTCTTCCGGTGGCGTGTTAAGCAGCTTCTACTCGCGTACGTCTTATCGCACGAAACGCATTTGACATTTCAAAAAATATAGAAATAAATTCAGTGACACGAAACGGTAGCACAGAACGATACGGTCACTGTTGACTTCGAGGCGAAGACTGACCGTTCGGTGTTACGGAGCGACGGGCATTACACATTTATTATGTGTGTGTGTGGGGGGAGGGGGTATCAAATCGTGTAGGTAAGGTCATCGACGGTGGGTGGTGGTGGGGTGGGGGTGGGGGTGGGGATGAAATCTTGTCGGTAAGGTCGTCGACGGTTTGACGGGGGCGGGGGAGGAGCAGAACTGGTTATTTCATCCTAGCAAAATATTAAATCGATGATAACGGCGAAAAAATCGACCCGTCATCGGGGTGATGACGTGACCGAGCCGGCTCCGGACATCAGTGACGGGAGGGGTGGGTCGGGGACACTCTGGAGAGGGCGGGGGGGAGGCTAGCGGCACGAATCCGATAAGGCGCCGACGGGCGGGGAAGACAGGTGGTGAAGTGATGGCCTCCTCGTTGGCGGTTGCGGCGGCGGCGGGCTGGGAAGTCCCCGGGGATGATTGACACTAATCGGTCGATCGATCCGTTAAAGATCATAGGTCGAGTTCTTAATCGGTAGCTAATCGATCAATTAACCCTTTTAAATGACCAATTAGTGTCAATCATCCCTTTTAATTGACTAATTAGTGTCAATTATGATAGGTAAGGTCATCGATGGTGGGCGGGCGGGGGAGGGGTAAATACGATAATTGAAGTGATCGTGGGTGGGAATGGTGGGGGTAAATACGATAGGTAAAGTGATCGAGGGTGGGCGGGGGGGGGGAAATAGGTAGGTACAGTGATCGTGGGGGGGCGGGGGGGGGGGGATGGGTTGGGGGGGTGGGGGGGGGGGGGGGCAAAACCGGCTATTTCATCCTACTACCATTATAATTCACTAAAAAAGGTCAACCGTTGTGAGTAGATGGCTAACTTCACAAGCTTGTATTATATGTTTATTTGTTGTATTTTATGTACTCTTCGGAGTATTTGTTATTGAACAATGATGTAATGTTCATAAATGTATAATTTGCATAGGCGTGCGCAAACCTTTTTCAGGATATGCAAAAAGCTATCACTGCCTACCCCCCCACTAACCCTAAAACTGAAAGTTAATTTAAGCGTTCGAAATGCTGGTCTTAATAACTATTTAATTTAAAATTTTCATTTTTTTAACGAAAAAAGTGACTGAATAGCCATTTTATAATCGTTATAACAGTCTTCAAAATTAAAATTTTAAATAAATTACAAAAAAAAATAATTAAATACATAACACTTGAAAAGGTTTGAGTAACACGTTTAACTAGGGTAAATAAATAGAAACGTAATTATATACTTAAATGAAAAACAAAATAAATTTGATAAATAATCAAAATTAATCATAAAACGATTCTGCGTACAGTACATACAAATATTTAAGTCAGACATTGTGAAGTATTTGTAATATTCCATTGTATTGAAATAATTTATCCACTTAATAATAACAATAATTGAACAATTATTTAAAATAGAAAAACCCTCACCAAATAAGCAAATAATTTATAGATGTACTAAAAAATATGCACAGCACCCTATGATCGTTGTCTTTAATAATTCCCTGACGAATAGTTAAAAGAAAATCATTTAAATTGGGTTCAATCAATAGACTACATATTGTCGTCACTTGTCACTAGCAAACTATTTTTATCGCCGATGAACATTATAATGTACAATAATTATTATTGCACATACATATTTGGAGAACTTTATATGGAAGCCTTAAACATAATTGTGCATTGCGTCGAATAACAATGCTAGCGGCTATCCTAAATTATATTGTTTATAAATAGTTACTTTTTTAATACTACATAATATAATATGACACAGTGCCAGTCAAAATAATGTAATATGCATTATTTTGAATTTACAATGAGTAAATATAATGAGTAATGATGAAAAATACATATTTCTATTTATAAAGGATGCAACCCTAAAATTCAAAAAAAAATTTGCCACCCTCTGCGGTCGCACAGGTTGCACGTGCCTTCTGCCGACATTGAATATAACTACGTACAAATATAACAATGTATAAATATTTGAATTGTTTTAAATATCAAAAAAAAGTATTTTTGCATGTAAAAATGGATGATTAAATAAATATTTTTTTCTATATAACGATTTTATCATTACTTTTTGAACAATCTACGTAAATAGGTGCACGTATAGTGTCCATTACAACATAAATAGAATAATACGAGTAACATTGGACATAGAGTATCTGTCTCATCGTTGCACCCGTTGCGGTATGCCGCCAAAAATATTATTTAAATTTAAATGTTTTTTATTTACAACAATTCATCTTAAAACTTTAACCGATAGAATACTGAGCTTTTTTAAAGTTGTAATAGTTTTTATACACTCTCAATTAAGTTTCAAAACGATTAGGCTATAGAACATGTTAGAATATATCTATGTACAAATATAACAATGTATTGATATTTGAAATATTGATTATATATCAAAAATGATATAAAAATAAATAATATTTATAAATATTTCTCAATCGCGATATAAGAAGTACCTTAAAAAAGGCTTAGTTTTTTTATTTTATATTAATATTAATACTCATATATTTTTGACAGAAATGATAAAAAATGTAATTTGTATGAATGAAATGATTTAACAAACATAAATAGAACACTATTTTATACAATTTTAAAAAAGCATATAAGGGGGGGGGGAAATCTGACCCCTACATCTCCCTTGTATATGCCCCTAAATAGTTAAACTAATTTTAAGTATGTTCTTCAATTTTGAATATTAAAAACAAAATGAAACAGAGAACATAAATATGAATAATTAATTTTAACATGTCAAGAATCATTTGATGATTCAAAAACAAATAAAATATGTAACCATGAAAGTTATAAAACGTTATTAAATTATTAAATTTGAATATACAGTCTGATGATTAGGGTGACATTAATTAAGATCCAAAATAACCTATATTTCAAGTAAATAAAAAATACTTAAATAATAAATTATTTATCATTAGAATAAAACAAGAAATAATTCGATTCTTGATCAATAACATAATATATTAAATATTTTTAATATATTGTGTTACATTATTTTGTTTTACAAAGATTGTATTAAAGAATTTATATTTTCTAGATATTTCCATTAACAACATTTTGAACTCAGAATAGAAGTATTATGCTAAATACTACAGTGAATTTAAATGGCTAGAATATATTAGATCTTGTAATACTATTTTTTGCTTTAAATGTATTTATACTTTACAGAAAATTTAATAAAAACTAGATACAATATTGTATAAAGTTATTTTTTTTACTTGAGTATTTATTTATATAAATTAAAAATAATTATTGCTTATAAATTATAAATCATATAATTTTTTAGTGTTAAATCTAGAATAAGAGACTTACACCCTGAAGCAGTTTTTATTCATCGTATGGCTTTTAAATTGAATTTGGTTACAACATTTACTTGTAGAATCATAAGGTGCATATACAAGAAAATTGTATCTAAATATATCTTTATATCCAAGGTTTTGACACAAATAAAACAAATTACAATTATCAAAATTGGTCTTCTTGTGCATGTTACGTATGCTATATAGGATGAAATTATAAGACACTTTAAGTTCATGATTTAAAAGAGAGTTAAGCGCTTGAAAATTTAATAGACAATTTAATTTAATTACATTTTAATAAAAGCATAGTGTTTCTTGATCATTACCAAGTATAATATGTATTTATTAAAGTATAAATCAACTTTAATAAATACATATTATAAATGAAATATAATAATTGTTTAATACTTTTATAATTGTAATAATGTATTTATTTTATTATGTAAATACTTTTCTGTCGATACCACGTCCCTACAAACAAGACATCGTTACCCGACGGACGAAAAAGATCTCGTGTAGGGACGTGGTATCGAAAGAAAAGTATCTATATTTTTATTTGGTGTCGAATTGAATGAAAATACCGATATGCAGTGGCGTATTTTCAATTTTTACTGGGAGGGGGGGTCCACATGAGGTTCATATGTTTTGTCATTTTTGAGATGTAGCGATCAATGAGATCGAGTGAGTGGTATTTTAATTTTCTATAAAAATTCTATTATACACACATCGATTGTTTTTATTACTATTATTAATTATTATCAAGTTATATAAATCAGCTATATCAAATGTTAAAATAAATAAATACTTTACTGTGATAAACACGAATAATCAAGGTTTAGTTGAATAACAAAAAGTACTAAAGGAAATTATGTGTCAATAATCATCGTTTAATACATGACTCATGAGTAAAACAGTTAAAAAAAAATAAATTATAAATTAAGTATAAGAAATAAAAAGGTTACAATAATATCATATAAAAATGTAATCTATCAATGTTAAGAGAAAACAATCACTAATGGAGCACGTTTCTACAACCTGGGAATCAAAACAAAAAACCACAGTTAAAAACCATGATTACCTCAATACTATCAGATGTTAGCGCAGACGAAGATCTAATTTAAAATTCTTACCTTTAACAAAAATTACCTTATAACATATTATATCATGTGAATACTTTTATCCTAGTAATTTATTTTTAGTAATTATTAGGGCTAGGATTTTAATGACCCAAAAAACCTAAAAAAATGACATTAAAATAACCTAAAAAAATGACCTAATTATACGAGTATATTAAGTCTTGTTGTAGCATCTACGAGTATATCACGTTTTAAATTTAATAAATAAAAAAAACAATATTTAAACGATTTATTTCATAAATATTGGAATAGGTTGTAGGAATAGGAAAACATTTAATAGAACGTTTTTTTTTGTTTTTAATACTTGTCAGAAAAAAAAGGATTGAATAATTTTTCAACGTATAATCCTTTATATCTCTAAACTTTTTGGCTATCTTACATTGTAATTAATTTAGTACTTATACTTGTGTAAATTGCGTATAGTTTTAATAACTGATACAAAGTTTACATACAAAAAGTAATGCGTAAACGATATAATTTGTGACGCATTAATATTTTTGCAACTTAAGCATTTTCAAGATTAATGTTCAGTCTGTGCGCCAAATCAAATTATAATTTATACACAATTATAAATAATATATATAATATACTATTTACACGTATAGTTACTAAATCAACTGTAACCAATTATATGTATTAAAAAAAAGCTTGCAACTTGTCAAACCAAAAACTTATTTAAAAGTCGAAAATATGAATTTTATTTTTTTTATTTGATGATTCAAACGTCATTTTAACTGTCTAATTCATTTAAACAGTTTCGAACTGTTCCTTGGACGTAATCCTAAATTCATCAATTTCTCTGCTGCCCTCGAGCCCTCGCCCCACGCCATTATATGTCTTACACAAAACCCATTGTCGTCGACAAAAAAAAACTGTATATAATTTGAATATAAAATGAAATCAAGTTTTTGCGTCGACGAAAAAAATTACCAAAACGAAAAACATCTAGTACTTCATAACTCCACATTTTGCATTTTAATCGAACGTACCCATAGGCGTGCGTGCAGTGAGTGCCGGGTGTGCCTGGGGAACCTCTGAAATGTATTAAATGGGGTCCGTATTTTAACTGATGTTTCTCAAATTAAATGTAATTTATTCTAAAATATTTTGTAAAAAAATAAAATGTTTTGTAATAGAAAAAATAAAACTAAATTTTTTGAATGTTCGTGCAAAAACTTCTTATGATAATATAACAGACTATAATTGACTACAAAAGTACACATCATAAATAATTTAAGCTATCTGAGGAAAATACATGAGATTCAAGGAAAACGTATTCATATTAAACCACAATATTAGAAAATATTAAAATTATGTTTATTTAATTATTTATACATTATTATTAATTAAATATACCTACACGTTTGTGTTAAGATAGGATCCAAAAATATTGTTGGCAGGGATGGACTGGGCAGGCAGGATACCGGAAGGTTCCCGGTGGGCCGCTTGTACTCGTTTTTTTCTTCGATTTTTTTTCTTTAGGGTTATCGGTTTAAGCTCGTTGTCTCGACAGATTTAGACGCATTTTATAATGCGATTGCTTTAGACCAGTAGTGCCCAACCCGCGGCCCGCGGGCCACATGTAGCCCGCAAAGGTATTCTATGTGGCCCGTTACGAATTTTCTAAAATAAAAATTTTTTTTTAAAAATGTAAGAACATTTTTTGATTCATAATGCCGTTTGATATTAAATTCTTTAAAAACTGAAACCGTTACACGACACACAAGACAAACGGCTTTTCCATTAATTTCAATGAAAAAGTAATTTATAGACCATTGAAAATTCGGCAATCATCAATATATTTGCGTTTTTTTCTGTCTGACATTTTCATACGCAAACTTTACAATTAAATATCGATATCATCCGTGTACTTAAAATAACGTACTAATCAAACTAATGTGTACCTTAATTCATAATCTTTTCAATAGACAATAAAAGATAAGAAAATAAGTCCAATATATAAGATTATTTTTGTACTTTTATACTTTGTGGCCCACTTGAAGATAATTGTTTACCAAAGTGGCCCGCCAAAAGAAAAAGGTTGGACATCACTGCTTTAGACACTGTATAAAAGTAAACAAACGGTTTTTTAATTTTTAATAATAATATTAAGTGTTAAAATTCTCAAAATAATATACAATAATTTTATATGAAAATATAAATTTTTTTTTTTAGGGTTGTTTTTATACCTTTGGTATATATAAGTGGGTCTTCCCCCTGGTAGAAATTTCTGACCCAAATAATTTTTCACATCTATTGTTGCTGTTATTAAAAATTAATTATACTATCGTGGTTGTACATTATTATACTTGGGAATTACGAACGCACACGATTAATATACAACCGTGTCGGTGCGGACGTCCATCAATGTTTATTTCGGATCTCATGATCCGTGTGTGGTAGGGGGAGAGGAGTATCGAAAGTGTACATAATAATCAGGGTTCGGAAGTTGTAGCACTAAAAATGTTACTTTTTAGCTCTTAAATATGCACTTAAAAACTCTAAAATATGCGCTATAAATAGCACGAAAAATCAAAAAAATATGTATTTAACTTGAAAAAAATATAATTTTACAAATTGTTGGGCTCATTAGACACAGTCTGGACTGATTGAATTATAAACTGTTAACAAAAATGTTAAATTACTTAAATATATTTGTAAAAATGTACTTATTATTAAATTATTTTATGTATTTATCTTGGAAATTAACCTAGATTATTAAAATGATCGATAATCTAATGCAATGATATAATAAGGGAATAAAAATGACGTCACTAACTATTAATACATAAAATTGTCGATGAAAACATAAAATAATATTTGATGAGGTCTATTTAATTCCAATAATTAAAATATTTTTAAAAACATAACTAAGTAAAAACAATTATTATCAACAAAATGAGATTATTCTTTATATTATGTGAAAATATACCTGAAAATAGCACTATAAAATCTAAATTAGCAAAATAGCAATAAAACCCGTAAATATGCATAAAATAGCAAAATTAATTTATTTACATGATATCTGAGTAGTGAGAAACATATTTGTATCTTTCTTTGGATGTTATAGGATGAACCAAAAAAAAATATGCATTTTCTAGAACTTCCGAACCCTGATAATAATATACAGATGTAATTTCTGACGCACTGGGGAGTGTTATTTATTTTATTCTCTTTCGGAGAGGGGTATTTCTCCTGGAATAATCGCTGGTCGTGTGTGCCCTTCCATTGCACCGAACCGAACCGGATCGGCCGGTTTGACGAACAAGCCCGGGTCGAGACGCGCGTCACGTTTTCCGGCACAGCCCCGAGACGCGGTGACGCAACGGTGCGAAACGTTTTCCGGACGAGCGCGGGAATAATACTCGGTGCAGCCGAGCCACTGTGATAGCGCGACCGATCGACGATAGTATGCGCCGTGCGTATACAACGAGATAATGATAATAATAATAATAATAATAATAATATCGCGTCATGCTGCAACGAAAAAACCGTGATTACGATTAACATTGTTATTATTATTTATAATATTATTGTGTTAACACGTACGGGCGCGCTCGACGACCGATAGGTACCATGGATAAATATCGTTGTTGATATTTACTGTCGTTTTCGTCATTTCCGTATCCGAGTTCGGCTGTAGTCTGTTATTTTTTTTTCTACGTCGGAATATCGTGCTCGTCGTCGAACCGTGTCGTCGTGTTCCGTTCGAATCGCATCATATCCGTACGTCCGTTCCCGTCGACCATGTGATCTCCGCGAATTCTTCGCACATCGTTTAGCCATTCCATGTAAGTGAAATGCGATTGAAGTATGGTCAAGTAGTGGTACGACGTGCGGGCGAGAACGGCTTCTGGATAACCGATTAATCGGTATTCGCGTCGCGCGTTCTCCCATCGCCGTTGCCGCTCGTTCGGAGAATACCAACTGCATTGTAATGAGCCAAACTTCATTCTGACATTAGTATTGCCGTGCCAATTATAATATGCCACACGACGTGTATTGTTTTCGATGACGGTCTCGTTAACTGATCATATGGAATAAAATTTTTTAAAAAAAAAACCACGCACCAGTCGATTGCGAAAAATATGTATTATCGTTTACTGGGATTCTAATATTATTGTACCGTTTCACAGGTAGAATGTCGTCGTCGCATGATCATAGACCTTCAATTAACAATGTTTTGGATTTGTTGGCTCAACAGTTTGTGGTGATTTCTGGTTAGTTTTGTGAAGTATTATTAAAACATGCAAAAAAGCAATATTATGTATTAATTTTAATGTAGTATTATGCTTTAGTTGGAAAAATCAAATGTATGAAAGTTTTTTAATCATATTTATGATTTTATTTATATTTTTCTTGCTCTGATTGTAAATAAATGCTTTAATTTTCACATTAAAATTAGTTGATAAGTTAAGAAGTACTAAATGAGGATTAAAATGCTTAAAAATATTAAGATAATTTGTTACCTATTCTTATAGTTTGAAGTACCTATTTTACATTTAAAGGTTCAATAAGATTTTTTTTAATAATATTTGAATTAAAATATAAATTAATAAATAATTTTTATAATAATAAGTATAATAAATAAAATAAAAAAAAACCTAATAATTTATTTTTAAAGAAACATAAATATTTACTTAATAAAAATCTACATGTGATGTAAAATGTAATAATTTCTGCATATAATCAATAAATAATAATTGCATTGAATCATAGGTCAATTACAAATGTAAATTGTACATTGGACCAGCATCTAAAAATCTATAATTAATATTCTTTTATGTATTATTTATTTTTATTTTGTTTAATATCTGTATTAGATATTCTATCTATTAATAATTTTTTTATTATTTATATCTGATTGTGGTTCTTTATTTAACAAATATACATCGTTTTAAGAACCTAAATTAAATTTTAATAACTAATTACATTTTTATAATACTTTTATAATTATTATATTACAACTTGCTTAATTGTATTATATTATAAGAATATTCTCTTGAAACAAATATTTATAAAATAATTTTTACCATAAGATTTATATTAAAATAAACTAAATTATTTTAATCTTTAATGGTCCACTATACTCAAATCAAATTACTTTAAGTATTGATTTTCTACATTTATTGTTATGCACAATATTACTTAATTATTTGAACTTTCATTTATCTTAACAGAAATTTATCAATCTTAAATGTTTTTCATTGGTTATTCCATGTTTAAACATAGTCATTTTGATTAGATAATCTTTTTATTGACACTAATTTAGTTTACAATATTATAAACACTACACTACTAGGAGAAGCTAAATAAATTTTCTACAACAAGTTGGCATCTTATCCATATTTACTTTTGTATTTGATAGTAATCACTATTAACTTTTTTCATACTCATGTCTTAATAATAATAATCAAACACTAAAAGTATATTCTTATTTTTATTACAATTTCAATTCTAAATTATTTCTTAACTATACCTTTAATAGGTATTTAATTTAAAACCGTCATAATTATTTTAGTTATTTTATAGGTACTGTTGCAGTTGTTTATTATTTAAATTATTGATATTTTTCAGGTGGTAAAACTAGAGAGGGTTATTCTATAATAACTTTTCCTGATATAGGAAATTTTGTTGATTTGTCTGAAGAAGGCTTTGAAAAATTAATATCTTATACTACTTCAGTACCTTCGTAAGTAGTACATTTTATTTTGTACTCTTATAACTAGTTAACTAACTTATATTTTTTCTTCTAGATTACAGGAAGCTGATTTAGGTTTTGTAATTATTGTTGATAGACGCAATGACAAATGGAGTTCAGTTCGATGTGTTCTCTTACGTTTAGCAGTAAGTATAAGGAAAAGACCACAAATAAATGTTATAGCTAAGGCTAAAATAATACTAAGTAAAAGTGTAGTACCCTGAATGATTAATCCAATTTTTTTTCAATATTTTTATACGTATTGACTTTTTTTTAATGTTAATAATTTTAAATTTATAAAAAAATACTATTATTATCTTAACCTAACCAATATAAACTAATAATAGTACATAATAACTATTTTAATATTTTTGAATTTAAATAATTATAAAATTAATTAATTAATTGCAATCGAATAATTTAATTAGAATATTTCGAATTTACTTTACAGTTTATTTAAGTGTTTATTTTTATACATTAACTATTGAAATAGTTTTTAGCAGTTTTCTTTAGTAATATTCTATCTTTTTTATTTTAATCAAATTAATACATTGAATTAGACTTAAAAAAAAAAAAAAAAATGATTAAAATTCTTATTTGAAAAAAAATAATAATTACTTGTGTATTTTCATTAATTTTTTATTCTACATTTATTCTCAAACAATAAGCATTCATATTTTATACCTAATACTTCTTCAATTTCTTAAAAGTAAATAAAATATGTTTGTAACTTACATAAAAAGGTGTATATTTAATTATTATTATAAACATGATAAAGTATTTTAATTGATCTAGCCAATTCACTTAATAAAAGTTACTAAAGTACAATTTGATATTTTTAGCGTTTGAGTAGGATGGTATCAATGTAATTCTCCCCACTAAATTTACAATGTGCACAATTTTATTTATATACTTACACTCATTAGTTTAATATAAATATCATCTAATCTTTAATACATAGTTGCTACATTATATGGTAGTTTTTACTTAAAAATATAAATATGAATATTTATAATGTTAAATATATAATATAGTATTTTGTATATTTAATATATATTTAGTTTTAAAAAATTTGCTCTATATAATATTTACTAAAATTAATATAAAAAATACTTTAATATATTGTTAATATTTTTAACAGGAATTCTTTCCTGGACTTTTACATGTAGTTTATGTGATAAGGCCAAATAGTTTTTTTCAAAAGGCTATATCAGAAGTAAGCAATAAGTTTTTTAAAGAAGACTTCAAATTCAAAGTTGTTGTATGCAGTATTATTGAGGAATTACATGAATATATAGATAATTCTGAACTTACTGTAGAGCTTAGTGGTACTTTACCTTATTTTCATCAGCACTGGATACAGCAAAGAATGGTAATGTATAAAATTTACAACTAGACTTCGTTCCATGTCACTAATGCAACTAAACCAAGATCATTAGTTCTAACAAATATCATTACAAAAATAAATTAGTTACATTATTTTGAATTTATAGTAATATTAGCTTTTAGTACAAAATTATAAAAACAAATAGTTTTCTCTTAATATATTTTGTTTAAAATAACATGATTTATTTTCTTTTTAGGCTTTAGAAAATTTTTCAAATGAAACTAATGAAGTTTCTTCAATGTTAAATGAATTTACGGAGCGTCTCACAAATGATACATTAGATTTGCCAGACACTAAAGAACAGTCAGCTGATTTGTTATGTCGTCATGCAGTTGAATATGGAAGATTGAAAAAATGTATTGCTGAAGCTGTTAAAAAAGGTGAATCATTGTTGGGTGATTTTAAGCAAGACACTGATACTTACCATGGTTCTATACCCTCAACAGTTACCAATGTTGCTGCGTTAGAGAGGTAATTATAAATTATGTTATAGGATTTTAATTAATTTTTATCCAGGTAAAAAAAAAACTGTAGTTTTAGAAGACTATTTTATTATTAAATGTGTATGTTATACACTCTTGTAATTTATACTGTTTTCTTATTAAGTTATTTGATGTATGTGTTTTCTAACTTTTTAGAATACTGTAGACCTAACTATACCTTTTTTCTTGGGTATTAATTTAAAGTAGTTATATTTTAAGTTGTAAGATATCAGTCACTTATAGCTATACTGGTGATTATCTAAAGTAAAAAAAAAAACTAGGGTCTTTAATAACGACTGCAGATTTATTGAAAAAATGATATTCTTTGTTTCTATTGTCAGAAATTGGTAGTTTGTTCGTTTTTTATTTATTTTTTTTAAAAGATTTCTGATTTTGTTTAAGTGTGTCAAATAGTGATTTTTTTTATGGCTTGTAAAAACAAAAAAAATAAATAATGTTTATTCCTAATGTAATGTGTTTATGGTAAAAATTTAAAAATAACTTGTTTAAGTTTTCTTATAACCAGTATTAATATTTATTTTATTATCTAAATCAAGTATCAACTCTTATAAGTATAGATAATATCCTTTTTTTTTTTTTAATTATTTTTTTATTTATTTTATTTAGTACAAATTTTACATTTTAAAAGTAAAAGTAATTTCTTTTTATGTTAATTTATTGAATACTTAATATAATATTCATAAATTGAAACAGTATCATATTATCTTACTTTTTCATTATTAATTAGTGAAACATCATTTTTATAATGTTTTTATATAATTACTTTCTATTTTATATTTTAAGTTATGTTTTTAATTGTAGATAAGCAATTTTAATTGGTTTTATTTGAAAAAATATTTGGACTTTTAGGTAATTACTTAATTTATAGTTAAAAATGTTTATTAACATAAAATTAATTAATACTTTTTCTATACAGTTGTAATTTTTAAATTATATTTTATATATTATATTGTTTAATAATATATCATAGATTTCTATTAAATTAAGAATATGTATAATGAGGATTTTCAATTTTTTTATTTTATTTTTTTATTTTTATTATAATTATTTAAACTGCATGTCATACTGGATTTACATATTACATATAAATTTTATAAAATATTAATTTTTATATTTTTAAAGATTATTAGTGCAAATGGAAGAAACAGAAAAAGTGTTTGATGATTTTTGGGAACAATTCTCTGGGAGACTTAAACAATGTCATTCATTACGGGCATTTGAAGAAAGTTTTAATATTGTCCAAGTATGTAATAGTTATTCCCATTTTTAATAAAATTCTCAATAAGTACATTATAATTTTATTTTTAAAAATGAACATATTTTGTTTTTCCCTTTAAAATAATATATATAGTGTTTTAATAATATTATTTGAAACAGATCTTTAAATTTAATTCGGATTTTTTCATAAGAATAAAGACTAAAGTATAAAGTAAATGTATTGTACATGATTACATACATCATTGAATATAAATCATATTAGGTAATCAAATTTATATTGTTTATTTTATTATCTATCAACTATGTAGGAGAATATTAAATTTTTAAATTAATGTAAATAAAACAAACTATTATTATTTGTTAAAATATTACATTAGTTTAGATTTTAACTCTCACTTGTATAGTTTATTTTAGACAAAAAAAAAAAAAAAATACTTCATAGTCTAAGCTGCTTGAAAAAATTCAACAATAAAGTTCTATATAGATTTAAAAAAAAGAGTTCCTATTAAAAATAGTTTGTTTTACTGCTCATAGAAGTTAACAAAAAAGTCCCCTGTTTTATTATTTAATTGCATTTGTATGATCTTTCTAGAAAAAAATTAATTAAATTTAAAGACATTTTTTTTTAGTACAATTCAAAATATTTTTCATTTTGTCAATAATTTACACATTGTATATTATAAAATTACATTTATTATTAATATAATTTAGATATTCACTGTTTAAAGTTATTATTGCTCATTAATATATATATATTAATATATATCATATTGTTTTAATTTTGATGACTAATTTAAATAATAATATTATTAATACAATTGATTATATTAACATATGTTTTATTTAGAGTTCATTAAATGAACACTTAAAAATTCTATCAGAAATGACTGATGTTGGAGATTCTGTTGATCGAGTAGAATCATTACTTGAAGAGTTTACTGCTTTTCAGAAATCAAGTTACGTATGTATCTGTTATTGTTTTATATTTCCCTTAAAGCAATATTATTATAATAAAAAGAAGATTATTGAAGTCTTAGAAAATTATAATTGAATAAAATAAAAAATAAGAATTTTATATAATTATATTTACTGTTTCACTTAGTATTTGAAATGTTATTTTCATTAACTCAATGACAATATAGTAAATGGAAAACATTATTTGATGAAAAATTGTATAATCAATTAGATTAATGCAATAACAAAAGGAAATCACCGAGTTAATAGACAATTTTAATTTTTCTTATTTTTTTATTTTTATTATAAAAAAAAAAATTACATTTTTATAAAATTTTTTAACTAAAATTTAAAACTAGACATTTTATAATTTTACTACCAATTATACAGTAAAACCTTAATAAGACCAAACTTTGGTAAGACGGAAACTAGGTATAATGGAACATTTTTTTGGTCCCATTTCAAATTACATACAATTAACTAAGCCCGTCAGGACGGAAACCCTGTTAACACGAAAAATATCATGATCCCAAGCGATTTCGTCTTGTCGAGGTTTAACTGTAATATTAATAGTTCGGTTGTAAAAAGAAAAATATAATGAAGTTGAAACACATAATTTAGATTAATAAGTTAATATTTTATAAATAATAATAGTATTTTGTTCACATAGTTATTTTTTTTTTGAAAATGGGTGTATTTAATCAAATCCTCTTAATTATTATTTGTATCAATAATTTATTTTAGGAAAAAATAAAATTAAGTGAAGATTTGCTACATTGTGGTGGACAATTATTAGCTTCTAAACGATTTATTGTTTTGGAAAGTATTCAACCAAAGTGTGATGAAGTTCAACGTCTTATTCAAACATTGAATGATCGTTTAGAAAAACGTTTACAGACCTTAAATAAAAGTTGTGAACTGCAAGCTAGGATTCAAAAAGTAAGTATTCATTTCACCATACGCTATACCATACGTAATTGCTATTTTGGACTTGCATGGAAACTGATATTATAGATTACATAATATTTTTAGTAATAGTTTATATTTAACTTAATGAAATCACAATAATATGTTTAATACATAAAAAAAATGTATTATTAATTTTTCCTTTAGAATATATTATAGTCTGACCTTGTTTATCAGAGATAATAATCTACATATGGTATTAGGAATACGCATAGAGTTATTGTTTAAAAATCTAATGATTTATTTTGTTTTGAGTATAAATCAAAATTAATTTTTTTTTAAATTTTTAAAAAATGTTCATATTTAATTTAATTTTAATTTATGTATTTTGTCTAAAAATCTATATACTAAATATCTCAATAGACATTTGTATTATATTATATTATATTATATTTTTTTGATAGTTTTTTTTTATTAATTTATAGGCAAGTGAATGGTGTGCGAAAGGGGTCATGCTATTGGGATCAGAACCACCTGACAAATGCATTAGTGCTGAACAGTCTCTTGCAGAATTAGAAGAGTTTATGAGTAGTGCTCATCATTTAAAAGTAGAAAGCCCAAGAGAATTTTATTCATTGTTTGAAGATACTATAACACCTGAAACTAAACCTATTGTCACCCAAGTGCTTCAAAGACTAGATGATGTAACTACTATGTGCGATAAACGTTTGGCAAGTCTTAAACGTTTGATTAATAAACCACGACCTATTTTGTCTGTTAATCCTGAACCTGCTATTCCTATCCATTTAACTAACATGATCAAGGTAAGTTGTATAAATATTGATAATTTCATTGATATTCAATATGAATAACTGATCAATTTAATAAAAAAAAAAAAAATCTGTTTCAGATTTCAAATGATGTTGAATGTGATTCAGGTATTCAAAATGAAGAGAGTAATGTTACAAAAACAAAGCATGTTCTCAGTGAACTTTTATGTACTGAACGACAATATACTACAGAGTTGGGTTCTATACTTAGAGTAGGTTGAATATTTTACAATGAATCTTTATTTATATGTGTAAAAAATGGAATTTTCTTAGGGATACAAAGATCAAATGGAAGTACCTGATATGAAAAACTTAATACCTACAGGATTAAAGGGTAAAAGTGAAGTTCTTTTTGGAAACCTTGAAAGCATTCATAGCTTCCATAATCAATTTTTTTTACCTGCTCTTGAAAGTTGTTCATCTAGTACTGAATCTGTTGCTGTTTGTTTTACTGACAATGTAATGTTTTTGCAACTATCTATAGTTATTTAAATCTAATATAGTTTTTGAAAATAAAATAATGTTTTTTATTGATTTTAGAGGGAAAAATTGCTACAGCTTTACACATATTATTGTGTGAATTTAACAAGGTCTGAAGAAATAAGAGAAGTAGTGGGTGAGGATAATGCTTTTTTTAAATTATGTCAAGAAAAGCTTGGACACCGTTTACCTCTTGGTGCATATTTACTTTTACCAATGCAGAGAATCACTAAATATCAACTTCTATTGAAAGTGAATATGATAAAAAAAAAGTGCATTGATTATAACATATTTGTAATGGGTTTTTAATTTTTAGGAACTGTTACATAGTGAAAAAAATCAAAACTGTATTACTAAGTTGCAAAAAGCTCTTGATTGTATGTTGCTAGTTCTTAATAATGTAAATGACAATATGCATCAAATAGGCATTACTGGATTTTATGTAAGTTATAATACATCTTTTAAAAAAAAACTTTATATAAATGTAAATTATTTTATGTTTAGGGGGATTGGAATGATTTAGGTGGTTTACTTTTACAAGGGTCGTTCTCTGTATGGGTTGAAAACAAAAAAGATTTGTTGAAGGAACTTAGACTTAAGCCCATGAGACGTCAAATTTTTTTGTATCAACAGGGATTACTTTTGTGTAAAAAAGTTTCAAAAGATAATAAACCAATGTATCACTTCAAAAAATATTTAAGGGTAAAAATTAGTTTTTTCTCAAATTTATTTTTTTTTAAATTTTCAAATAAAATTTACTTTTATAATTTTTACAGATGTGTAATATTGGACTGACAGAAACAGTTAAAGGAGATTTATGTAAATTTGAGGTATGGTTAGAAGGGCGTCAAGAAGTTTACACAATTCAAGCATCTAATTTGCAACAAAAGCAACAATGGGTGTCTGAAATTAAAAGAGTATTACTAGAACAATTGGCTGAATTGAAAGGAGAAAAAATTAAACAGTATATAAATACATTTGGAAAGCATGTGTAAGTGTTATTATTATTATATACTCTTATCAATCGTGCCTGAAAATTGTTTATTAATACTACATTTTTACAGAAATTTACGTCAAACGCATTCCTTTGATAACCAAAGTGAAACCGGATCAAATCGTGGAAGACGTCCATTAAGTCATCATGAAACTACTGATGATGATTCTTCTGATTACAGTTTGACTGATGATGAGTCTCTTGATGGGACAATTAAACCAAAAGTAAGTCATATTAAATTATTAATAACAACATAACTTATATATTTAACATTTTTCAGGCTGATAGTTATATATCATTAGCGGACTACAATGCACTTCGGCCAACAGATGCTACATTAAAAAGAGGAGATAAAGTTGATCTCTTAAAAGCTGGTTCAAGTAGTTGGTGGTATGTCAAAATTCAAGGTAAGTGTTAAATAACTAATTTTATTTAAGATTACTCTTAATGAATATTTTTACATGAAAAGAATATATATTTTTACCAAGCCCCTCACGAATTTCAATTTTTTTTTTAATCTCAAACGAGGTGTTTTTCAATGCTGATATTGAAACTGTTTGAATTTTTTCGCGGTAACCATTAGTTTGAGAATTATAGTGTTTTTAATTTTACGTTTTTTTTTTTTACTGTATACGTATATTAATATTAATAAACTATTTGATTGAAGTCTATGTTATCTTCAGTATCTTCATCACTTATCGTCAGATTCACTTGAATTTTGTTCAACATTCGAGATATTCGCATTATATAAATGTCCATTCAATTTAAAAAATTCTATGACACCATCACTTTGATTACAGTTAATTTTTTTTAAAAATATATGTTTGGTGAGATATCCTCCAATAAAATCTTTCTTCTTGTAGTACTGAGAGACAAAGTGTTAAGTATTTCTAAAACATTGAGTGTCGTGTCATTTCCTTCATGCTTAGCATTTGGCAAACAAAACCAATACATCCCTCGATTTGATGTGAATTTTTTGGTAGTTGACTATAATATGAATCAATATTATTTCTTATTTTCTTATTAAATTTCTTATTTAAATTTTCAAAATTATTAATAATTTATAAAAAATGAATGAAGAGTTAAATTATTAAGAAATTTTTAAAAAATTTAAATCTGTATTTAAAATTAATATTATAACATTCATAGTAATTTATTAAACTTAGGCAAGTTAAAAAAAAAAAAAAAACCTTAAAAAATTTTAAGGTATCTCACATGCAATAAATAATCAAATACTCTTGTGCATTCAAGTTTTCATAGAATACAATTTGACTTATATACTCATACAAATTTATACATGCATGTGTAAAAATTATTTAATTAATATTTTATCTAGGATCCAAAACGGAAGGCTGGGTTCCAGCAGCTCATTTAGAGGTCAGTGGTCGTAAGTCTTCACATAGTTCTCAGTCTGTTTGCAGTCATGGATCAACATCTACAGAATGAAATCTTTTGTTTGTCTTAAGTATTTATATGGTTTATATAATTGTGATATTAATTATTTAATTTGTTTATTATTATTATTAATATTTATTTAGTCTGAACAGGACAACCATTAATAACTCATATTATTACATAATTAAGTATAATTTTAGTGAGCATGTCATAAATATGACAAAATTATTGCGAGCTTCCCCAGAGTTAGTACAGGGAATACTTAAAAGCTTCGGGTAAACAACAAAATTCAATAGTCCTATGTTAATGTTTTTAAACTTAAGTCCGCGAACAATAATATCTATAAAAATTACAATTTTTTAATTATAAATGTGTTTTGTAACACCAATATTTGTAAATATTACTGTTGCATTTGTAATGGTAATACTATTTATCCATCTTTTGATATTTTTGTATATTGGCACATTACTATGCACTAATGTTATTCATTAGTTTATTTAAAATTTGATATATCCATATATATATATATATATATATATATATATAGCCTCTGGGCATTATCCTCCTGTTTTGGTTCCTCTAATTCCTCGCGTGTCTTATTATAAAGTATTTCGTTTAAATGCAATATATTTTAAGTTTCGTTGTTTATTTACATTTTTAAGATCACATTTTTTAAACAAATGATTCAGTTTGACTATATGTTATTTTTCTTCTATGTTAATTTGCTGCTTGAATCAATTTGAAATTATTATGAGTTTTTTTTTCTTTGGCAAAAATTTATAATTTTTCATACTTTTATGATGAATTAGATGACCAAAAATGTATTAAAATATTTAAAGTACAAAATGTATATAAATGCATAAATGTATTCAAGTATTAATAAATACAAAGTAAATAAAACCGTTCCATAAATTAAATTTTATATAGGTAATTTTTATATATATTTTTTTTCATATTATTGACAATTATACAAATAGTAGTTTGCACTTATATTATTTCCCCACTAATCCAGTGTTCAAAAGTGACTTATTTTTGCCATTTTAATTTGATCTTCATTTTTATTTAATTTTTTAATTCTAGTCATTTATATTCATATGATGTTTGCTATGTTTTTGATATTTTTGACTGTGCTGAGTATAAATTGTATTTATACAGACAAACAGCTATGTATGTTTTTGAGGAAAAATCAGAATAACCAAATTTATTATTTGTTGCTTTGAAATGGCTACATGTTTCTTAAAAAGAATAATCTTAATGATTTTGTCTTCTAAAGTAATATACATTGTTTTTAGCAGGTAGGTTATGCATTAGTAGTTAGTAATGCATTACTTTCTCAATGATGTATGTTAGTATGGGTATCAGTTTAAAACACAATAAATTTAAATTTTTTCGTGGTTCCTAAATTACTTTAACTTTATACTTTAAATGATGTTAACTTAATTGGAAAGAAAAATGTTATAATCGTGATTATTTAACTGACTCTTAGTAAAAAATGTTACTAGTTAATTATTGTCTTATTTAATTTTTTATCTGGTTCTTTTTTATTTTAAACTTGGTCATTTTAAGTTATCCCTTTAACTATAGTTCTGGTTTAAAAAAAAAAAATATTTTCCTGCATATTTGTCACCTTGAATTATTATTTATTATTATTCACTATTACCTGTTATTATTATTATTATTAGTTTTAATCTTAAAAATATTACCGTTGTATGAAAAAATTGTTCTTAAATTGTCAATTGTTTTTTTTTTTTTTTTTATTTTTGTTTACCTATTAATTATTGTACTTACCTATTTATTTTATTACTATATTCTCAAATAAATAAATTCTATATGAATTGAAAAAAAAAAGGATAAAATGCTACGCAAATTTGTTATTGGATTGTTATTGCAAAAAAGTAATTGGAAATTAAATGATTTGGCTATTTGTAGATGTAAAATCAAAATTAAAACAAAAACATACTTATTGAATTTAACATTGTTTTAATTATGATCACTGTGTACTATTATGCTAATTTTAAAATGGCATCATGAGTAATATTGTACTTGGTTGGGATTTTACTTATAAAGAAGCATTGTGTTATTGCTGTATACTAAAACAACTTTATTATTATTGATGTTATAGGATCCAACAATGCTAATGTTATAGTTTTTTGGATCACAAATATTTTGAATTTAGCCTGTGATAAATTTTTAATTTTTAAGTTTATACACTATAAATATTTTTACTTTACATTAGAAATAAGTATTTGACTATTTTTTTTTTTTAAATCTAGTTATTAATCGAAAACACTAGACAGTATCATAAATGTTCAAGTGTGTGATTATTCTACAACAAGCACTTTATTAATGGAACTACTTAAAGGTTCCTGATTACCATAATAGTTCTGGTTTGAAGTTTAAAAAGTTGGCATTAGATAAACATTAAGCTGTGAAATACCAACAACATTATTTTTAGTTATAATTTATAATTATACAACCACAGATATGTAATGAAATACGGAACTGTATGAACTATTTAATAAGTTTTATTAATAATTATTTGAATGAGCTCCTTGAGCTAGCATATATTCATATTGCAATACAGCATGTGTGCAATCATCATATTTTTCCATGTAAATAATTTTCTTATCTTCTGTATATTATTTTAAATTTAATCGGTCGTTCAAAAAAATATGAATGATCAAAAGATGGAATATCTCTTGTCTATCGAGTAAATTGGTGTTATGTTGAGTATATTTTAGTATAGCCATGAATTTTATAAATAAATGTCTTAAATTAAACTAAATTTTAAAGTATTTACTCTTATTAAAATTAAAAATGGTCGCATAAATCTGAATATATATTTTTAAATGGGAATGTTGTCTGTTTACGAATTTTAAAAATTATCAACTTTGAAATATGAAGTATTACTTGGTTACAATATTAATTTTTGAAATTATGCTGTAAAAATGTTATTGTAATATTATATTTAAAATTAAGATGAGTACATATACTTTTTTGTCATACACGGTACACTTACCCACATTTACGATAGACACTTCACCGCTCATAGAAGGTACAAGTGTATGGAATGCACTCAGTTTGTTGTTCAACGTGAAAATAATACCTATCTAACTTTGTTAGTTATGGATTTCGCGACAGTAAGTTACACATATTATGAATTATTCTATCTCCATCTATGCATATCAAAAGTGTGTTACCCTCACGGACGGAATGCGTTTTTTATCAATCTTTGTAACGTATAGCTCTTGCCGTTCAATTACTTCCTCTAATGAGAACGAAAAGGATATTGGACCGTAATGATCAGTACCAACAATAACGTTTTTCCTTAAAGAAATGTAATTGAAGTTTATTCGCTTTGTAAAACAGAAGAGCAAAAAAAATGCTTTGGCTAACATAACTGTAATATTATCAATAACATCAGTAAATGATTTTACGTAAATAAAAAAGAATTATTTTATATGATTGTAATATTGTAAATTGGTTTACCACTAAAATAGTGCTTATCGAAAAGGCTTAAATAATAGTTATTTCCAAACTGAAAATTTGCTCAGTTTTGATAACCATTATTTGTGCACGTATAGGGAGTATTTAGAGTAAGTACGTATAATTATTAATAAAGCTTATAAAATATAAATATGTCGATTATATTATAATACATATAAAATATTAATTATACTCTTAAATAACTTAATTATGGTAATCATATTAAAATATAAGTTATGGAAATCATGGCAGTTGTCCGCGTAGGTACGGCAAAAATATATGTGTAGACATCTAAATTAATTTTAAGCTTTACTAAAGTTTTCAGTTATTACAAATTAATTATTTTTTTTTTAATTTTATGTTCAAATTACTTCTAATTTAAATATTCTACATATATATACTATGCGATTTGCACGATTCCACTTCAGTTTTAAAATATTCGAACGAAAGAATTTGAATTAATTAATCTAAGAAAAATGCGTTTCGGATCAAACACAAGAGTGGACTCTATGAAAAACTGATGTTGGAATAATTATATCTCTAACATAGTATTTACCTTAATTTATTAATTTTTTAAATTTTTTTCAAGTCTCCCATTAGGTTGTGTAAAATTAATAATTTGATTTTGATTCCAACCTACTATTCTAGAAAAATAAGTATCTTGACCTGTGATATCCGAGTTACATTGATAGATTAATATTTTAATAGATTTTAATAAATTAATATTTTTAATATTTTCAAATAAAAAATGTCGACAGCGACCTGATTTTTTTTAATAAATTGAGAACTCCTTTCAATGTATATCGAAACCGTGGGCATGAACTGAAGTATAACGTGTGTCTTCCGGAATCCTTTCCAATAATGTATTATTAATTATTTATCAATATTTATCCATTAATGTCCTTCCTTGTAAGACTGCAGATATAGTTTCGAGGGTTTTAAATCCAATATTTTTGTTCAATGCGTTTTCTAATTTAATGAAAACTAATTTTTTTATTTAGATATATTCGATTAAACAACGGGCACGTTCATTTTTCTTTAAATATTGTGAGATAAAACCGATTGATACATGGCCTTAAAATACATTATATGATATAAAAAAATATTGACTTTCAAAGTATTTAAAATACATAGATCTATAACATATATTTTAAAATTATAATTAAAAGACGAAAGAAATAGCAAAAATAAAATGTTTATTTTATTTTACATAGCATAAATCAAATATAGCCGACATGGCTTCGTTTTCGACCAATAGAAAAAAAAAACAAATGCCTACTAAGTCCGAACTCAATAATAGTTTTATTGTTGGGCAAGACTGTATTATTAATATTATTATGTTTAACCGTTGTCTCAAGTTGTATACCTACAATCCCGCAATTATGTTCATACATCATGTTATATTTACCTGTTTGTACATGTAACTTATTATTTTTTAATTATTATAATTATAACAATGTATTTTTAACTGCTTTATGAATATTTAATAATCATAAACCTCTTTTCCAATGTTACTATGGTAACTACAGAATTTTATATTAGTAATTAACAATTATGAGTTATTAATTTATCATTATTATGCCTGAGCTTAGGTATACTATTACAATATTTTTTGCATCCAAAGCTTATTTATAATAAAATGTTAAATAACAAATTACAAAAAAACATACAAGTTATGTTCACATACTATACATTGATTGTATTGTTTTACTTTTGTGTACATTTAAATGTTGTTCAGTTTAAATGGCGATCAGATGGTGTCTTATCATCATCGTTCATACGTGTGTGAATACATTTAAATATTAACTGCGTGCGATGCTACTTCGCAGAATGGGCGAGAGCTGGTATATCGCGGCATTCCTGGTATATCTCGAAAATGGTTAAGATAAGTGTCTTTATCTCAGTCCGTAGATTGAATTTCTGCGACAAAGACATTTCGTTGTATAACTCGAACATTATGTAATCGACGATAAAAAATGATTATAATAACAATACAGCATTCACATATTTTCGTCCACTAAAAACAGATAGTATTATTACGTGTTGACTTACTATTAAAATGGTTTTTAAGAAATTTTTTAGGATTTTAGGACAATACGTTCATTTTATTTTAATGTCCAGTAGTAATGTCATTGCGTAAACATTCGTTCGCATTAGGGAACTACAAGCACTGCCTATGTTGGAAACTACACATAATTATAAATGCTCATCTGCCTACCCATTATAGCATATACCATCATAGGCGTCCTTGTAAAGCATTTTCGTAATTGTAAATACGTACGCGTGCAGATACTTATATTATATATTCATTTATTTGCTGTGAAACTCGCAATAACATATTATAAATTGAATAAATGACGGCGTGGTCTCATAACCGTTCCGCTGTTTACGTAAGTATTCTCTGTTCCGATTACAGGGCGTGGATTTGAATGCGAAACGCGTTTTTTCATTACATGTTATTTATAATTATATATATTATATGTATAATTTATTACTAATCGAACCTACTCCAAAACATCGTTTACCTGTTCTGTACAGGTTAGATGTTAGAATAATAATTCGTGATATACACAGACTGTACACAAAGACGTAGCCAAGGGGAGGGAATTTCTCCCCTGCCTATAGTTAGTAATGTTAGGTTAAGTTAGGTTAGGTTAGGTTAGGTTAACCTAACCTACATGAGTGACCACCATCACTTGAGTTACTCCTACGTTCCGTCGCGCACGTCCCTGTCCGTTCCCGCCGTCTCCGCGCGTCGGTCGGCTGGTTGGCGTACGTCACAGATGGACGCCGATCTGTTGGCCGCCGCGTGGGTGGTGGCGGAGTGGGCTGGGGCGGCTCCGTCAGCGGGACGCGCAGTCATGTCAGACGGCGCAGAAGCCGAGGCCGAATGGCTCGTCGGCAACGTCACCGCGGCTTGCGACGTCGCTCTCCCGCCCAGGACCACCCATCCCGGGCGGCAGGCCACCGGTCTTCTGGTGGAACGGTGACATCGCGGCCGCGCGGGCAGAATGCGTCCGTAGGAGACGGCTGTGGACCAGGTCGCGCGGCAGGCGATCCGACGGAGAGTCGGCCGCCGCGGCCGAGGTCGAGTACCGCTCAGCCCGCAAAAGGCTGAAGCACCTGATCCGCGACGCGAAGTCAAGGTGCTGGGCGGAGTTGGTTAAGTCCGTCGACGACGAACCCTGGGGTAAACCCTACAAGGTCGTCATGAAAAAGCTTCGCGGGCCATCCGCGACAGCGCCGATGGAGCCGCGGCAGATCCGCACCATCGCCGCTGTACTCTTCCCCTCAGGGGACGAGGCGGATTTGCCCACCGACGTCGACGTGGAACCGGTCGCCGTTCCAGAGTTCTCTCGAGCGGAAGTGACGGCCGCCGTCGGTCGTTTCAGGAGTCGGGACAAGGCCCCGGGCCCGGACGGTATACCGTCCCGGGTGTGGGGTGTATTGCCGATTTAAAAAAAAAAAAATTAGGTTAACCTAACCTAACCTAACCTAACTTTTAAGGACATTTCAAATTAATCCATATAAACCCTATTTAAACTGCTTATACATTTTCAAATTTGTAAATATGTATATTTTTAACTATATTTTAAATGTTCAAAATTATTTTATCAAACATAAGTTTTAATTAATAATTTTTTTTGTATTTACCTCGTAAAGTTATTATTAAAGATCATAAAATAAAGATAAAAAAATTTGACATGTGTAAACATTTAAAAATACACCTATTTAATAAATAACACTAAACGTGTTTTAACGATTGGTTGCTCCTCTCGGTGCCGTCGTTAGGCAACTTAAGCAATTGTCTAAGGCCTCGCACTTAATATCAATTCGGGGGCCCACAATTTGTCAAGTTAGAATAGTTAGATATATTTAGGTGTAAGGAAATTGTATTGGTTTTGCCGAAGGCCTCGCATAAGCTTGCGGCGACACTGCCCCTTATTCCTGTTGAACTTTCTAGCTATGCCCTTGGCTGTACATTCATGAAGTAGCCGCTCTTGCACGCCAAACGGATTTTAATTATTAGAAAAAAATTCTCGAGAAGAGTATTTGATTATGTGTCGGTCTACGATATGGCGTAATTTTAACATTTTCCCCGGGCGTGAAAATTCATATAGTTCCACCTCTGGGTCGAGTATATGCGTAGTACAAATGCTGCTGCACTACACTTATCCGGAACATATTGTAATACGCGCATGCGCATGCGACAATATGGTGAGTATCGGTTCTTGACTCCGAATCGGCTCGTTCCGCCAGAACAAGTGTCGTGAGGGAGGGAGGGGGGGTTGTCGTTCGCTTGTATGTAGGTCGCGAGCAATGCACGTACTGACGGGCGGCGGTCGCGCGTGTTCGTCTTCCGTTCGCGGACTTCCGGGCACCGTAGGTACGTCGCGAAAAGCATAGGTGGTGTTAACCGTACAACGAACGTGTCACACCGCAGTATGTGCAGGTGTACACCGCGTCGTACGCGTTCATTAGACATCTGGTCTTGGACGGACCAGCAAGTACCATTGATACTGTGCACCGACTTTGGTTCAACGAATGTTTTATAAAAACGCGTTCTGAAAAACGTACGGTACTTCCGATAATTGTAGTGCGTTTCTCCTCCATCGTGTACGCGCGGAAAACCAACTAAATCGAAATAAAACCTAACCTCTATACCACTTTCAAGCGGTGGTGGTTGTACGGAGAGTGGGGTGGTTAGACCCCCCCTCGGTTTCGAGTTTAGGCTGTGATGCACAATTCAAGACGCTCAGGTTTAAAATGTTATGTCACTTCATTTTACGTTTCTAAGGATTAAATTTAAGCATTTAAAAAATTAAACATAAGAATTACATTTTAAGTGATACATTATTATTATTAAATAAAATGTGTTTGTGTCAAACATTTTTGTAAATTAACGTATTATAAGATAATATCAAATGAACACTCATAGAGAAAATTTGAAAAACCGTCACTGCTTTCGAATAAGATTGTTCACGACAACAACACCGTTCTCGCGATTCTATGTATCTTCTGTCCTTCGTCCTGTATTGTTTTATATTCTAATCGGTTTCGTTTCAAAGCGACAGCACCAAGAAGTCCATAATATTTCGTCATCGGTATAATAATATACGAGTATACTAGTAATTCGATTGTTTTGGTTACTTATCAACCGGAGTTGTTTGTGAGCAGGTCGGCGGGGAAGTGAAAAATCGAAAACATATTTTTGTTTATTCACTCGGGCAACTTACTGTTGTGGTGTATAGAAGCGTGCGCTCTGTAATCTTAATTTTCAAAAATGTTTGCATTTCTACTGTCGACTCGTGATGGTCGTTTGGACGAAGGGAGTCATTTTGACAGATAAATGAATAGTCCGTTTGTGCGAGTTAAACTATTTTTATCTGTATGAAGTAAGAACTCGGACGGTTATCAGACACTTCGACACTGATAATATCGTTACTATATAACAATTAACCAATATTATCGAAAAAAAGATTACAGATATACAGTACAAATTGTACATCATATTCGTCGCTCATGTAAAATTCATTAATAACTGTACATTTTAAACATATTAACATTTTGTACATTTTAACTTCAATATTTCTTAAATATCTAAAACCGACCCAGGTGTTGTCGCCCGTACAGGAAAACGTTCAACGTTGTATTATTGTATTTATTATATAAATTCAATTGTATTATTTTTTTTTTTTATTATTGTTTATTGCGTGTGGAGTGCCACCCTTATTTTCTTTTAAATTTATTATTATTTAGTAATAGTACAACGACATTTCCGCATATGTTATATTATGTGGCACCAAACGGGAAACGTAAGTTTTACTCGTGCCGAAGTCGTAGTTCATCTGACGTACAAAACGGAACCCACCGAAATATTCATGTGTCCAGTAGATCTGTACACTATACACGTATTTTAATATACTTTATAATAATACATTCATCATAAAATGTATTCAAAATAATAAAAAGACGTTATGATGACACCGTGCAATGAAACAGATGATCCACCACCATCAAAAACATAATTGTTTCTTCTCCACTAAAAATATCCACGTCCTTTTCATTGTTTTCAATACCTACAAAAAAGGCATGGATCAAATTTTGGTCTTCTCTTCCTCCTAACTTTGCTTCCTGGCAAAGATTTATCTCCTCATCTATCCCTAACTCTTCTTAGTTTCGTTATTAGACATTCGTCGAAACACAATCGTCTCTTTTCCTCGACTACGTTTTAGTCATAATCTTCTTCTTAATCATTCCTTTATTCTTTCACTTAATTATTTTCCCTTTTCACTCTCCACGCGCACTAAACCATATGCGATTCAAATCATAATATTTTCTTATACCCTTCTCGCTCTTGTCCTCGATCAGAATAACTACATTTACAATTTTTTTACTCTTACGATAAAAGTCAGTATACGGTTTTGCCCAAATGAGGTTGGTCATAACTAGGTTTGCCTGGTCAAAAGCCGAAATATGACATTTTGCCCAAGCATTGTGGGCATTTCTGAGATTTGCCCGATTTCGACTTTTGTCCGTAACATATATACATATCTTTGGTACCGGGTAGAGAAAGTTTATGTCATTTTAATCAACTATTTGAGGCTGCAATTTTATAATTCCTACTCTTTTAAGTATTACGACCACGAGCATTTTAGAAATTATTGATGTATATTATCCAAATCTTAGTACAATTAACGACTTAAAATTCTGGAATTTACAACTATCCATAGACTTAACTGTAGTTACACCATTTGGATTTCATTTTTTCCGACTTAATTCGAGATCATAGATATGTATAAATTATGAGCTATAACGCTTCAGTATACCAATACCAGTGTTGTAGTTGTACACAACAGTCGTCAGGTATAGCTGCGTGCGGGTCGTCATGACAACAACACTTTCACCTGACCGCTGCTGCCGCCACCACCACCTTCTCCGACGACAACCAGGAACACTAGACCAGGTAAACGAGCGCGTGCGGTCGCTTCGGTAACCCCACCATCGTGACCTCATAGATCGCCGCCGCTACCGCCGCCGCCGCCACGACTCGCGCGCGTGTGGCGCATTCGGTCCGTACACTGACGTTGAGTTCCGTGTAGCGTGTGCGCGTCTCAACCGAATCCCCGACGCGATCCGAAATTATTATATCACGTCGTACAACACGATCGCCGTCGGTACGTATTTGTCGCGGATATTCTGTACAGTATTATTAACCGGTGCGTTCGGGTGTTCGTTTTCGTGTCCGTTATTCGTGTTCGACAGTTGTGTAGCGGTTCTCGTCCGCGGCGATGACATGACGCAGCCGTGCCCGTCGTCGTCCGGTACCGTGCCGTGCCCCGTACTTTTACACCGTTCCACCGCCGTCGCAGCTGTAGTCGCTGTGACAACACCGTCACGGTCCATGTCTCCTGGTTGAACAGCAGTGCGTGCCTCAACGAAAACCGATCGGCGCACGCGGCCGGCAGACAAACAAGAAGAATAAAAATAAAAGTAGATTAAGTAGCAGGAGCCACTTGGCACCGGTGCGAAGAACGGGCGGAGAAGATGAACAATAACAATCCGTACGGCCGACCCACGGTGCAACCGCACATTGAAGACCTGCCGTCCGATTGCGGGTGAGTTTGACGCGCGCGTTCTCTCCTCGACATCGTATCGTCCCGCGGTAATGTTCAGACGCGTATTGAATGTGTTTGCTCGTAGGGTACCTGCACAAGGAAAAATGACGAGTATCACATGCATTTATGCGATACGCTCGATGCGTTATGAATAAAAACAAATAAACTTTCTAAAATCCTTTCAGTAATAATGTTTATTTTAATACCAAACAGGTTGCAATCACCGAACTCATGACGAGTAACTTTTATTGAATAATAAAAAATAATAAGTACCATACCATTAGATCACTCTAGCGTGTATTTTAGTTGCGTTTAACCGGTGATATTTGGTTAAAATAAGTACGACTTATAATACTATCGTGTCCGAGGTTTTTGGATATTCTTTTGTTTTTCGATTTTATCGATCCAAGTATAGAGGACGTCATACAGTGGTGACGATTGATTTACGTAGGACATTGTAAATTATTTAATCAAACATGCATTAATTACCCAGTGGTGGGTCATCGTGTCACTGACCAACACATTCTTACATTACCGATTTCAATTTAAATTATTTAATGAATTGCACTTGTAGTTATGAATTTATATATTTGAATTATAATTATATATGTATTGTAATTATATATATGTAACCTATATGTATGTAAAGAACATACCAGTATTTTTTCTTTTTAGTAGTGAAATTACCAGTTTCAATTGTAAACAAATGTTATCCCTGGTAACATCAAACTATTTTAATCTCTTGTATAGTTCGTCACATATTATAAAATAAACAAAAATATTTTATTGATTATAGAACAATAAGATTATAGCGCAATTATGGTTTTAACATTTTTTATTATTGACGGATGCATCCAAAATAAATATAAGCGTTATTTTAAAAATATCATTTTAACTTATAATACTAATATATTTATAGAAAGCAACAATTTTATTAAAAGTTTCACGTTGCGAGTTCGATTTTAAATGAATTACACGAATAAAGACAATTTAAAAATTTAAAAAAAATATTAATTAATTCTTAAGTGCAAAAGGATATAAATATTTAGTTTCTAGTGTGATTTTTTAGGTTGAATTTTTACCGTTAATTATTTTATGTTCGATTTAATATTGTATGTTGATATTCATACAACTGCATTCACGTGTTCATCGCTTAATCGTGAACAATATTTATTTTTTCAAAATTTTAGTATTGACAATGTGAGATAAGCTTATTGCTTGTGTTAGTAAGAATATAAAAGTCACCATTCAATTTTATTTGTTACAATTTTAAACATCTTGATATATATTTGTATATATTACATTATTATATTTTATTATAAAAAGTTCTGCGGGTTGCCGGTGCCTGTATTAGACTAACATTAGACGAGTATCATTTAAAGGAATTCTATACGTTAGTCGTTTATTACATATATTATATTTGAAATAATTAAGAAAAAGAAGCTACAATTAACTTTTCTATATCATTTATTAAATATTAAACTTAATGTTTTTATTTAATAATTGTTCAATATATTATTTTCTGAAAATAGTTTAGACTTAGTTTAGTATAGTTTAGTATAATTTTATTTTAAATTTGGATACTGATAGAAATAAATATTCTATTTTACTTATATTTTTATGTTTTATTATTTTATTATTGAAAAATCGGAAATGTTGATATATGTTTAAGTAGAGTTCAGTGAGATACTTGTTGAGATAGGATTTTGATTTTCCCACTACGTTCCCACTACTGGTAAACAATTTTATTGAAGTGCCACTCAGTGAAAATTACTCAAAATATTCTCTGGTTTCAATCCTCAGGGAAACGTTTGAGTCCGTAAAAAGTTCGGTTGGTGAGATCAGTTCGTCGATTTGAAACGTCAACAACATTTCATAAAACTATATTCCCGACGGGACCGCTCGCTATGGACCAGTGCTTGAATGTTACATGAAAATGCGACTGCATATACGAGGTTGAGCATCATTTTAGAGATCTAATGTATACACGTACTCGTGATTAGGCCCATATTTAAAAATTTGGTGCCCCCAGGCATATAATTTATGCCCCCTCTCCACCAAAATAAATAATAACAATATAACCCTTATTATTTCGTCCATAATCGAGATTCTTTAATATTAAAATTAACTTATAAATGAAAATCGTTTAATACTTTTTTAATTAACAAATTAAACAAATTATAATATAATAAAACATACAATTTCCTTTTTCTTTTAATTAACAAATTATTATATAATGAAAATACAATTTTTTTTTAATTTGCAAATTATAAAATTGTAAAACATACTATTCTCTTTTTTTTATTGTTTTATTTTTTTTTTCATTAGGTATAGTATTTTTAAAATTAATTTTGCTAAAATATTTTGCCGTCCCTGAGACTTGACGCCCCCGGGCATGTGCCTACCCATGCCCTCCCCCTAAATACGGGCCTGCTCGTGATGACTCATCACCGTTCAATTTTGCAACACCTGATCGCCAATGAAGACGTATTTTAAGTGTGTACACTGCGAGCACCCGATAATAATAAAATATGCAAAACGTACGTGCGCGGCCCACGACGTATATTCTCTATTATACTATTGCGACGCAGTAGACGCGGGAACAGCGCACGCAATATCCGATTGTACATCAGTAATTGCAGTTTATTATTATTATTTTATCCACGTCGAGTTCCACGGAGATCAGTGCCAGCGCTAGGGGAGGACAAATGGGACATTTGTCCAGGTCCCCGCGCTTGTTAAAGGGCACCGTGATTTATTATTATCATCTTAATACCATGAGACATATTGACATTATATATCGATAAATTATAAATCTATATTATGTCTATTATCAGTTATTTGGAAAATTATATCTAAATTTAGCCATAGTACAAATTACAAAGTAAATCGTTGGTATCGATACGACGGAAGCGTAATATTTTGACGATACCCGTCGAGTAGGATTCCTACAATAAATAATAATATAAATATTTGTTCTCTCTATAGTTATTTGCTTAAAATTCGAAGAAAAACAATATTTTTTTTTAAAAAAATTCTGATTTAAAAAAAGCAAGAATTTCGTTGCTCTCTGGGAACTTTAAGGTTAATACCTATTACCAGGGCCCCGCAATACTTAGCGCCGGCACTGCCGGAGACATATGTAAAAAACGATCGCTACACTAGCGACCAACAGACGTCGAATATCGCGAAAATTCGTCCGTGATATTTCCATTGTATAATTTTCGTGACACACCCCCGCCGAAAGGGATAACGAATCGTCGTCGGCGGGCCGGACATTTCCAAGACCATAGCCGTTACCATAGCAATGGTCTCGGATAAATATTGTTTCACGTACCCAAAAGTTTTCTGCTCACCAAAATCCACCTTGTAAATGGTATGACATTGAAGGCTTGACGGCTTAGCGTAGCATTCATGGCGTTTGTTATAAAACTGGTGGAATTTTCTAAGCTTTACGTTATTTTTTCGTCGTTGTCTAGTGGCTTATTTTAAAATTAGATAGGTAACATATACCTTAAAGTTTTAACGAGCAAGTATTACTGTGCGTTGTATTACATTCGTGCCAATACGTGTTACAGTTTTTTATATAATAATATATATGTGAAAAATTTAAATATACGTAAAGTAATCAATTTCGTGTGTAAAATGTTGTCAATTAATTTTGAATAACACCCCCCCTCCCTTAGAAATATCTAGCTACACGCCTGACTATGTTATTTAAATAGGAACATTTTTATATAGAGAGGTTATGATAATAAGGCAAATACATTTAAAATATTATGGTGTTTAGTAAATTATTTAAAACTTTGATTTAAGTTCAAGTAAGCTGTGTGTAAAGAATTCAATATAATTTTGTTACGGTTTTATCACTATATAATGTATTTTCGAAATAGCACTGGTGATTATGCGATTTGCTACTATATATATTTTATATTTTAATACTCCTCTAGCGGTTTGCTGTTATGGTATTTGTTTTCAAACTTTATAAGAAAATAAAATATATACATATATAATTATAATATTATATCCATATTTTTATAATTAGATATTTCTGCTCATTAAAAACTTTGTATACAATTTAAAATTTATTTAATTTGACATAATAGATATTTACGAAATGTTTTCGATTGTTATTTGTTTCTTAACTGAAATGCCTTGTTATGTAAAGATATACCGAAATGTAATCTAATTTAATTTTTGATTAGACATTTTGCTCATATTTATTATCATATTTATTATAACATATAACATATTATTTATAACATATTTATTATCATATTTTATTTTATTAAAATGTTTCACAAAAAAATACTAAGTATCATTGAGAAAATTCGTATGGTGATGCTAAATATGAAGAATTAAACAGGGTTTACTTACATATGCTTAAGTATTCAAATAATAATATATATCAAGTAATGTATGTAATTTTTTTGAATACCATTTCCATAATTTTAAATAAAATGTACAAAATTGTTTTGAATTGTTGAAAAAAAAACAACTTATTCTTTTTATATACTATAATAACATGTACAATTATGTGTTTTCGTGTTCGTAGAACGTAATTTCATATTAATCAGTTAAAAACAATTTAATATTGTATACTGCGTCTTAGTTGTGCTATTGGAATCGGTGTTATGCATTTAAATTCCTTTTTAAATTATATAATTATCGTAAAACAATGGTTAGTACAATTTTGGGTTATTTAACAATAAAGTATAATAGTGTCAGTTGTAAAAAAATAACTAATCCAATATAAATATGGTTTTCATAAGTCTTTAGTATAATCAAACTGAAGCATTCAAGAGTTAATTCAATATTAAGAACTTGTAACGTTCCGCAGAACATGATATTTCGAATATGAATACTGACACGGGAAAAAAATGTCAAAATAATTTGTAATAGGTATATTTTATTGTTTTTGGACTACATGAATAAAGTATTAATTTTTATTTTATAAATTTACAAATAAACAATGATATGATTATTAATTATATGTACTT